GCGGGTCGCCGCGGTGCTGCTTCAGCAAGCTGACGTGGAAGACATCATGGAGACGCGCACCATCCGGAAGCTGTAGGCAATACGCCACGCGCCCGATACGTTCCAGGACACGGAAGGGGCTAGCCCACCGTGGCCCCAGCTTCTGCTTGGCGCAAGGGTCCAGGGACTGCGCGGTACGGTGAAGAAGGCGCAGCTAGACCCAAGCACCGACGTCGAACTCCACCTCTCTGTGATGAGCGTCGTAGTAGCGCTTGGCGAGCTGTTGAGCTTGGACGAGACGCTGCCGGACTTCGGCCAACATCTCATCCCGGCCACGGAGAAGAGCATCGGCCGCCTCTGTACGGGCAGTCCCCGGCCGGTAAGGCAGAATCGGCGGCGGGGGACGCCCGTACACCACCTCGAAGGGCGTCGCGCGAAGAGCCGTATGGAACGAAGTATTATAGCAATACTCCACCCATGACAGCCAGTCCACCCATGTGCGAGGCCGATCACCTGTCACACAGCGTAGGTACATAGCAATCACCTTGTTGACCACCTCCGACTGGCCGTCCGTCTGAGGATGGAATGTTGTGCTCATACGAAGAGTCACGCCCGCCATTTTGAAGAGATCACGACAGACGTGACCGGTAAACACGGGGTCCCGATCGCTGACAATGGATGTCGGGAACCCGTGGAGGCGGACGACGCCGTCGAAGAAGGCGCGGGCAACGGTAGCAGCCGTGTAGGGATGCCCGAGCGCAATAAAATGCGCATACTTGGAGAAGCGGTCCACGACGGTGAGGATGACGGACTTGCCGCTGACCTTGGGCAGGCCCTCGATAAAGTCCATGGAGATGTCCGCCCATACTTGGGACGGCACCTCCAGGGGCTGCAGCAGCCCCGCTGGGCGCATGGCATCGGTCTTGTTGCGCTGGCACACCTCGCAGGCGCGCACCCAGTCTTGGACAAGTGCGCAATCGCCGGGGATATAGAAATCTGAGCGAAGGCGGTGCAAGGTCTTCTGAATGCCCTCATGGCCGGCCCCATGGGCAAGCTGGATGGCCTGATGGCGAAGGTCGCTGGCGTCGGGGATGAAGATGCGGCGGCCGTGCAGCAGGAGACCGGCGTCCACACGCCAAGGAGCAGACAGCTCCCCCGCTGCCAAGCGTTCCTGCAATAAAACGGCGTCTGGGGCAGCAGCAGTGGCGCGGCGGACGTCGTCGAGGAAGGCGAACGAAGGCCCCGCCGTGGCAGCCGCGGTCGCTGAAGCGTCACGCACCGTGGTCGGGTCAGCGTCGCGGCGGGACAGCGCGTCCACCACTGTGTTCAGGCGCCCCGGCCGGTACTCCACGGCAAAGTCGAAGCCAAATAGCTTGCTGACCCACTGGTGCTGAGGCACGGTCGACAAGCGCTAATCCAGAAGGTACTTGAGGCTGTAGTGATCCGTCCGCACAACGAAGTGGCGACCCCAAAGATACGGCCGCCAATGCCGCACCGCCTGCACGAGCCCAATAAGCTCACGCTCATAGGCAGCTAGCTTGAGATGACGCGCCGCAAACGGCCGGCTGAAGAACGCGAGGGGACCGGCGCCCTGGTGAAGGACGGCGCCGAACCCCGCTCCCGAAGCGTCGTTGTCGACCACGAACACCTTGTCGAAGTCGGGCATCTGCAAAACCGGCCCGGTGGTGAGGGCGCTCTTGAGTGCCAAGAAGACCGCCTGGGCCTCGTCGTCCTAGGAGAACGCGTCACGGCGCAAGAGGCGCGTAAGTAGCGCCGCGACGACGCCGAAGTCCCGGATGAACTTCCGATAGTAGCCGGCGAGGCCGAGGAAGCCACGCAAGGCACGGGCGGACTGCGGGGTAGGCCAGGAAGCGACCGCCGCAATCTTTTCCGCATCCATGGCGACCCCCTCGGCGGAGATGACGTGGCCGAGGTACGCCACCGACGTCGCCCCAAATGAGCACTTAGAGCGCTTCAGGTGAAGTCGATGGGCGCGGAGAGCGTTGAGGATGACGCCGACGTGCTGCAGGTGCTCCGCCCAGGATGAGCTGTAAATCAAGATGTCATCGAAAAACACCAGCACGAACCTTCGAAGGTACGGGCGAAGAACATCGTTCATCAGGGCCTGGAATGTTGCCGGGGCGTTGGAGAGCCCGAATGGCATGACCAGGAACTCGTAGTGACCCTGATGGGTACGGAAGGCCGTCTTGCTGATGTCATCAGGGTGCATCCGCACCTGGTGATAGCCGGACCGCAGATCCAGCTTGGTGAAGAAGCGAGTGCCATGCAGCTCGTCTAGGAGCTCGTCCACCACCGGTATAGGAAACTTGTCCGTGGAGGTCTTCGCATTAAGGGCGCGGTAGTCGATGCAGAACCTCCAGGAGTTGTCCGCCTTGCGAACAAGGAGGACCGGGGCGGAGAACGGCGAGGTGCTAGGCCGAATAATGCCCTGGGCAGCATCTCAGCACACTGACGCTCGAGCTCATCCTTCTGCAATTGCGGGTAGCGGTAGGGGCGCACCACCATCGGCGCAGTCCCGGGAAGCAGGTGGATGCGGTGGTCGTACGGGCGCTGCGGAGGGAGCCCCGTGGGCTCGGCGAAGATGTCGTCGTACTGCAGGAGGAGACGGTCCAGCAGCGGCAGTCGCGGGTCAGCCGCGACCGTGGCCACAACCTGCTGGGGGGTGGGCGCCCTCGGCCCGGGCACCCCCTACCACGTGACGCGGCGTCCGTTCCGCCAGAACGACAGCGTGAGAGCGTCGCAATCCCACAGCACAGGCCCCAGTGTCCGGATGAAGTCGAAGCCGAGGATAAAGTCGAAGGCACCCAAGCTGAGGGCGACGCAGGTGATGGCGAGGTCCTCGTCGCCGATGCGGATGGGCACGTCACGTGCAATCCCTTCGCACGCCAGGCGATCACCATTGGCCACGGTGACACGTAGATGCTCGCCACCAGTGGGAGAGAGACCGAGGCGACGCATCGCAGCCCCTTGGACGAAGTTGTGCATTGAGCCGGTGTCGAGGAGGGCGAGGAAGTGCGCGCCCTTGACGGCGACCGGTAGCAGCATGGCGTTCGGTGGCTGGATACTAGCAACGGCATGGAGGGACACCACAAGGGCGTTAGCCGTGCCTGAGGTGTCGTGGTCAGCCGCCAGCTCCTCCAGATGGGCGGCTGTAGGGCCGTCCGCAGCCGCTGCGTCGGCCGACTCGACGTCGATGTAGTCGGTCGTCTCGAGGAAGAAGAGATGTTTGCACACGTGGCCGCGCACAAATGGCTCGTCGCAATTGAAGCACAGTCCCTGGCGACGACGTTCCGCCTATTCGGCCGGTGAGAGACGACGGATCATGAGCGGCTGGCCGGCGGGCGGGCCAGGCGGGCGAAGCAGAAGCGCCGGCGTCGTCGGCGCAGGTGTGTGCGCGCGCCCCCCATTGCTTCAACCGCCTGGACGGGCAGCGGGAAAACGCCGCCGCGTCGACGCCGAAAGCCCGCGCGTAGTACATCGCCGTTTGCGGTCTTGCGGGTGGTGCATCTCCACATCGCACTTGATGTGCTTTGAAGGCCCCCACATACAACCGGGCCTTCTGGCGGGCGTTGAGCTCGGGTCCATGACAAAGGACAGCGTTGTAGCGTTCGGAGTAGTCCGCCACCGTAGAAGTGAAGGGCAGCCGGGCAAGCTCCGCCAAGTGGGTGCCCTGCGTTGGAGGACCGAAACGGAGCTGGCACAGCTCGTGAAACCGCTCCCAGGCCGGCATGCCTTCATCCTGTTCGAGGGCGTAGTACTAGGTCTGTGCCGCCCCACGGAGATGGTACGACGCCAGCCACGTGCGATCTGAGGCGAGAGTACGCTGGCAGCGAAAAAATTGCTCACATTGGTTGAGCCAGTTGAGCGGATTGACGCCCCCATCGTAGGTGGCGAACTCCAGTTTGTAGAACCGCGGCGGAGCGTGGGCGTCGGGGTGGCCGCTGCCCCCAGCGGCAGACGAGGCAGGAGCGCCGCCGTAGAGCAGGGACCCGTCGGTGCCCCCATAGAACGTCCCGGACGCCGTGGCCGAAGGCACGACGGTGGTGGACACGGCTGACGGCGTCACGGTGGTAGCCGACGTGTAGACTGGCGGCGTCGTGCCCATCAATGCCCACGACGGGATGGGCGACGACGAGGCTGGCCACCGCAGCTGACGTAGGGGAACCCCCTGGCTGCCCTGCGGCATGCCGAGGGAGAAACTCGTGGGAAGGGACGTCATCGGCGCATGCGGTGGCGGGGGCGGCTGCGACGCGGGCGGTGGAGGGGCGGCGGAAGGAGGCCCGCCACAGATTGCTGCAGGGTGGAGATGTTGAGGCTGAGGGCATCCACCGTACGGCCGATCTGATCCATGTTGCGGGCAAATTGTTCCATCACACCGGCTAAACCCTCGAGGGTGAGCGGTGCCAGAGGTCTCCGAGAGTTCGGAGGACGCGGACGGCATCGGAACGGACGACACCGGCGTCGGCAGGACGCCGGAGGATTGCGAAGCTGTGGACATCGTCCTGAAAATCTCTAATACAAAGGTGATATGAACCCTAGTCCTACCGGAAACTGATCTCAGGTTATATGAGTGGGAGGGGAGAAGTCGAGGTTTGAGCGAGCGAGGAAGACGGCGCGGAGGCGCCGTGGCTGCGCAGGCGCGAGAAGGCAGAGGATGGAGGCGCTACAGTACCATCACTACATTGCTGCGGTACTGTTCACGGAAGAAAGAAGAAAGAAGGCGGCTAGGGTTTCTTCCGGCTCCCTGAGGAAGCCGGAAACAATAATTGTTTCTGCTTAATTAATCCCAAAGGGTGTCTACAATATATATAAGCCTCTCTCTAATAAATAATAGAAAATTATCTCTAAAATACTATAAAATAGAATAACTATGGGCTTTTAGCCCCCTCTGACCGGCAGCCTCCCTAGCCACTGTTGGGCCTGCGCCTATAGGGAATGCCGGTCATAACAGTATTATAGTAAGAACTTCCTTGTAACTCTGATGCTCGTCTTACAAGTAACTAGGCAAATTCATGGATCTTAAAAATGGCTTTTGTCAGCCTTTGATCCATGGTGCCCAAGGGCTTGACTTCCTCTGCTGAAGATCCACTGCCAGCAACTTCGACCATGTCATCATGTTGAATTTTGTTTCTGTTCACAGATTCTGCCTCTTCTTCAATATCTCTTAGGATATTCCTGATACCATCCAGTACCTTAACATCATTCTGTGGTGATTGAGATTTCAACAAAGCAGAAATTCTCAAATGCAGTTTCAAAAATAGGGCCTTATCAATCAGGTCACTACTAAATGAAGAACCAGGTGATTGCAAAGGTGGCGATGATATTTTGTTGCTCTCTGTCAACTCAACTTTACCAACATTCTTGTCAACAATGACCCCACATTCCTGAGCTTCAGAAGAAAGACATGCCAATCAGTCGTCCATGAGGCCCATCTGATTAGAGTTTTCAGTCAAAGTGTGTTTACCTCCTTTATCTTTCTTGATGTGTGACAGTTTTGATTCCAAAGTATTAGCCCAAGCCTCCTCACAACTTGTTGCATTATCAGCACCATCTTCAGACATGGAAGTTAGGCTTGGTGGGTTGCTTCCTTTCCGACTTGATGCAGAAGTATCAATGGATGAATTTGTTGGGCTCTTGCAAAGGTTAGCACTCAATACATGCAGTTCCATACTATGAAGCTTACTTGAAGTCTTAGCGCACATATTTTTTGATGCCTGTAGCTCTTGGTTGCATTTTGACAGTGCACCTTTTAACTTCTTGGTTTCCTCGTCCATTGACAACAAATGGGCTGTTAACAATTCATTCTCTTTCTCCATGTTTTGCAAGTTTTCACGAGCATAATCAGGAGATGGACACATAGGATACTGGAATGTAGAACTCCTTGAAAACGAACGCCGGTTCTCCTGGGTCTCTACTCCAGCTATCCATTTCCATCTTCATCTGAGCTAATGCGGCAGGCCCAGGTAACTTTTTCCGGACAAGGCCACGTAATCTTTGGCACTCTACTTCCAGTTTTGATATTTTCTTGACATCCTCCATATGTTGTTTGATTGCTACATCAGCTGAACGAACACTCATGTTCTTCTCATTGCGAATGTCAAGCTCTTTAGAGACAACATGTAGTTCATACTTCAGTGAATTTACCTCCTTTTCACCTGACTGGATAGTGCTCTTTAGTACTTCAATCTGGGTTTCTGCTTGAGCCTTCTCCTCATGAACTTTCATCAGCAAATTTTCTCGTTCTCCAAGAGACCTTGAGAGTGCATCATTCTCAGAACCAGCTCTAATCAGTTTTTGTTCAAAGTCAACTAATTTTGCTTCTAGTTCAGCCCTTATCTTCTCAAAGTGTTTGGTCTTTGCAAGTACTACATCAAGCAACTTTTGCTCACCTTCTTCCTTCACTGCCCTCACTTGCTTCATGCATTCTTTTAGAGCTCCATCCAGATGGGTAGCTCTTTCCTCAGCTGCTAGCTTGGATAATGTTACAATTTCTAGTTGAAGTTTCAGTGCTGAGGCCTCTGGTTCAGCTTGCTCCCAACCTGACATTAAATAAATATATTAGTTTTATGGATCACTAGATAACTGAATTCACTACGACATAACAATTGGAAGGTGATGACGAAGTACTATAAGATATATTCCATTCACACATAATGCTACCACATAACTTTACCTTCATCAAAAAGAGGAAAGTAAAAAATAATTGCAATCAGGTTCACCTGGAAGGGCAGGCCTAGTGCAAGCGGTAGAGTCTTACCGCCTGTGACCGGAAGGTCCCGGGTTCGAGTCGCGGTCTCCTCGCATTGCACAGGTGAGGGTAAGGCTTGCCACTGACACCCTTCCCCAGACCCCGCACAGAGCGGGAGCTCTCTGCACTGGGTACGCCCTTTTAATCAGGTTCACCTGATATAGCTTCTTCAGCCACTTTAGCATGCTGCTTTACTATAGCATCTTTGGTGTTCATCTCACATTGTGCAGCAGATATTTTGTCATTCAGTATCTTTATCTTTGCACTCAGTATTTCGACTTGTTCTTGTGATGCAGTAAGATGTGAATATCTTCCTGGTGAAATCTGCATGTATTTTGGAACTTCCTCATCCTGCAAAAGAAAGAAAGCAATTCAGAAGGGAACCCTCAATCAAGAAGGGTACTAATCACTACATTAGTTTAAAAAGTTTCATTTTGGAAATGTCAACAGTGGAGGTAGGTAACTGATAATGACGAGCAGTTGATGAATAAATCAGTTATATGCCTTAGCACCAATGACTAATTGCAATACTGTGGCTATACCTATACAGAAGTCTTGACACAAAAAACAAGAAAAGAAAAGGAAAGCAACATACAACAAAAACTGTATATTTTGGCATGCTATGTGCACCATGTCATGCCATGAGTTATGAAGAAGATACAAGGGGCTTAAAGTTATTTCAACAATTGGTGTAAGAAAATCCCTAGGCACATAGAAGGCTATAGTGGCTGGTGAACATCTCATTCTCAATTTTACCACATGCTCACAGTTATACTTTGGTACTACTAAAGAAGTATTGTTTCCAGAAATAGGCAGTAAATGCACACAAAGTATGTACCATGGTTATCAAAGTTAAACTGCTCCACAGCAATCAAGTAATGTACAATTCTGTGAATTCATTCCCTAGGTGGGTTGGGGGCTTGGTCATGGTCCAGAGTACCCTATGAATTTGCAATTAAAAGTGTTAAGTGGACATGTAAGTAGACCAGACACTATTAAGCCTCCTACCATGGGAGAAGATACTAAGATGCAAATGTATGAATTAAACAAAGAACAGGGTATAACAGTACATTATCATCCTTCTGAAAGGTACTACACGACCAGCCTTACAGGCTTCCTTTCAGTGTTGTGAATGAGCTTACATAAAATAGCCCATTGAAATGAAGTGTGCTGTTTTGTAAGGGTTCCCCCTTTTTTCTTCTTAATACAATGATACGCAGTTCTCCGACGTGTTCGAGAAAAAAGAAAAGAAGAGGGTCGGTGGCAAAGAAAAATGAATGCCTAAAAGCAAAGGCCATTCTGTAGCCATCGGATGCCAGAATTTCAAGAAAGGAAGCAAAGTGAGGCTTCTATATCATTTTCAAGGTCTAGGAAAATACTTCAAACAAATAGCCAAACAAGGAACATATAATATTTTCCACAAATGGGGCATAGAACCAATACATGTGTTGATCAAATATTTACTGAAATTTCAACTAACCAAAGAGTGACACAAACCTCTGCTTGATTGGGTCTCTGTAAACCATCTTTGTCTGATGATTTATCAGAAGATTTCTTCTTCCAAGGCCAGCTTCGTCGATCCATGCCAATTGTGACAATCAAATATGTTGAATATATATCAGCTAAGCATGAGAAGAGGAGCTGGATTTATCACTTGTTCGAATGATTCCCTTTTGAATGTCTGAAGTTCCAAAAGTAAGTAAAATTAAGATATCCATCAATCTATTCAGAAAACAGAAAGGAAGAAAATTGATGTTGAACAACCAACTTGGATACAAAACCAGGAATGAGGCTGAAGAAGCAATAAAATAATTTCAGGGAATGAGGCTTCTACAACAGATGCAACCAGCAGGAGCTAGTTCTTATATACAAGCCCCCTCAATTCTAACCTATTTGGTTGTTGGATTAGTATTGCACACACTTCACTGATTTCTGCTGCTTTTAGCGTGTTCCTGGGGAATCCGGCCTTTCAACCCTTTTCTCGACCCTGTGTTGAAATTGTCTTCTTAATGAAATGCCTCAGGTAGTTGTTTACCTGGGGTCGGGTTTTATTCGACCATTCACAGCCAGCAACCAATTCAATTACTTCCGCCTCACTCACACTTACAGGAGGATGCCTCAAGACATAGGACAAAGAGCATCTCAACTTGTCAAGGAGCAGAAATCAACAATAATATGCTTTAAACAAAACACTCAATAATAGTCGGTAAACACTTGTAGCAAAATAAACACCAAAACACATTCTTAAAGCCCCACAAATAAACATGACAACAGCTATGGAACCCTTGTAGCAAAATAAACACCAAAACACATTCTTAAAGAAACGGACAATGTAGTAGTGTGGATGGTTGAGACTAGCAGGGGGTTCTATGCAGTTTATTTTGTCACTAGTAGTCCAACCATTACATGAAATCGGCATGCGAAGTTTGGGGTGACTAAGGGGTGTTTGGATCCAACCAGCTCTATTAGCTGCTAAAAATTAGCTGAGATGAATCTAATACAAGCTAGCTAAATGTTTGCTGTACACCCAGCTAACAACTCACCAACCAAGTTCATAGCACCTAACACACTTTGGCCCTTCCACATTCGTTTTATCCTAGTGCACTATCGGTAGCAGTTGTTTTGTCGCTAGTAGTCAGACTATCACATGAAATCGGCACGCTAAGGTTGGGATTATTAAAATAGCACTTTGATTCCAGCAGGCCCAAACAGAAGGCAGGTTCTTTAGCCAGATAGTCAACCAGAGAAGCTTAATCAAATATTAATAAAATATCTAGTACATCATGCAATCAACCTGATGACTACCATTTGACAATTAGACTGACGCGCACAAGGATCTAAGCACCATGACCCCCCACAAACATACTGCCGAACCAGAAGCACAACGAAGACAAATCTAGGATGTGAGTTTGCCTCGCGTGTTATGCACTTTCTTTTGCTCCTGGCCTTCTTCTTGTTCCAGCATCAACAACTGTACTAGCACCTACCATATTGGTGATTCCTCTGCAGGGGATGGGAGGGTTGTGGAGGGCAGGGAATGCATCAATTGCCTACTACAACAGGCGGGTGCTGCAGCATCTAGCAAGATCAATGACCTGGTGGATCTGAGGGGTTTAATCATCTTGAAGGAGGGTGACGAATTCATCCCCTATCACAAGAAATGCTCAAGAAATGAAGACAGCGAAAATCAGGGAACCGATAGACCAACCTAAACCAGCGCAATGCCTGGCTACAACTCCCAAGAACACGCATGAAACCACAAGGAACTGTTCAATTCATCGCCAAGAAAGAAACCGCAAGCGCCTTAGAAAGGGGCGGGCGAAGAGGAGGAGCAAGCAGCTTAGCGGCTCACCGAGCGCGGTCAGGGAGAGCATAGTCTCCGGCAGGCGGTGGCTCCGGCTAGTCCCGATCCGATCTACTCTGCTGTGGTCGCCACGGCCCTGGCTTTGCGTCGCGCGCACTCTTCCTTTGCACTTCCTAGTACTAATCTGGCACGGACTGGGGAGTGAACTGGATTGGATTCCCCTCACTTCCTCTTCAGTGCCTTTACTCCTTCTCCGGCCCCTGCTTGACCCTTTTTGTCTGCCTGCCACGCTCGCTGCCACCTCCGGCCCTGCTGTCTTCCCCAACATTTCCCTCTCCCCGCTCGCTGCCACTCCTGCACTCCTAGGGTCCTACAAGCCTACCCGCTAATCCGCCATCAGCACCGTCACTGCTGAGAATCTAGCATGCCCGGTGCCTGCAGCTCACCCCCAGCTCGGCTATTGACAATGCAGCTCGCCCTCTCTTTCCTCATGTTAGGGATGGATTCAGGTGGAATACGAATGGGGTCGAATGAATTTCCATACCACTATTTGTCACATCTAATTTTAAATTAAAATAGAGATACCTTGTCACCTGAATAAACAGATTTCTAAAGTTTTCTTTAAATCAAACTTTTTAAACTTTAATCAAATTTTAAAATAATACGTCAAGATTTATGACGTCAAATTACTCTCTCTGTTCTAAAAAATCAATTCGTTTCAGACAAATTAGTTTAGCTGTTAAATGACCATATTATCCTTGATTAATTTAAGTTCCATCGTTAACTTGCACACTACTCAGTGTTTGAGTTACGCACCGGTCACATTATTTATTACTCATCTAGGAGGGGATATGTGACGGCAGGGTAGCACTAAATTAGATGGGAATACGAGGAGTATTAAATGGCCTGGTGGATCGTTGCTCTAGGAATTGACTTATTTGTGGATAAATTTTTCTCCAGAAATTAATTGTTTCGGAGACAGAGGGAGTAGTATCATTAGATCTAACATAGAATATATTTTTATAATACACTGAAACATAACTAATAGGATTTGTATTTGATATCTACTTAATTACAGATATAACAAATATCTATTTGTTTTATCCATAGCTTGTCAAAGGACTTTAGCTGAGCTAGTACGATGGCTTGAGTATCATTTCTTGTGTACTGGTTCGACTATGTGTGGAGCAAATTTTTAGGTTAAGGTCTAAAATTTCTCGTTTATCAGGCCACGGTCGTGGTCGCTTTCACATGGCTTATATAGTGCCGCTATCAATCAGCAGTCCTGGTCGTTCTCACATGGCTCACATGCACTATAGTACCGCTATGTATGGGTAGGGTTTTTTTTGTCAACCCGCTTGAGGTCGAGTTTTTTATCCATAGTTTTCTAAGCACAAAATCATTAACAAAACTCATAAAAATAATATATCAAAAATATATAAACTATAAATAAATATTTCAAACATACTTTTACTAATTAGAGACTTAAATAGAGTCTTCACAATAATTCTTACCGGACACCTTAAAAGAAGAAGTAAATCAAATTTTAAAATTCTCAAGAAGTAATCAATCTTTAATTGATCGACTTTGATCATCGCCAATAATAAACATAGAATTTATTCTATTATATTAAAAATTATCCACATCTACCATTATAAAAATATATATTAAAAACTCTAAATTTGCATCAAAATTACCCACCTCCACCATGTTGTCAACTACGTTTGCTCGGGCATGTCGTCGTCCGACTCCCTCAAGTAGGTTATGTCATCTTTGACCATGTTGTCGACTATGACCGCTCAGACATGCTGCCGTCGAGCTCCTCCCCCGAGCTAGTTACACCATCTCCGACCACGTTGTCAACTACAACGGCTCGAGCATGCCGTCGTCAAACTTGTTTCTTTGAACCGGTCATGCCACCTATCACTATGTCCTCGGCTATGACTGCTCGGGCACACCGTCTATGGGCTCCATTGAGCTAGTCTCACCACCTCTGACCATGATCGCTCGACCACGTCGTCGTCAAGCTTCACCCAAATCATCACGCCAGCTGGGTGCGCTCATCACACACTCAGGATCCAAAGAAGATAGCGACTCTGAGTTTACCCTCTGATTGATTCTCCAAATCACTCAGAGGCTCAAAGGCTAGACTGCTCACGCGAACGCGATCGACTATGACAAAAAAAGAGCACTTAGATACAAAAAGTACTTGCATGTGGCTTCAATCAAGACTAACCCTTTGCTCGATTCTCCAAATTGCATGAAGTCTTGGGGGCAATTGTCGGTATATCGGTATCCGAGTTCCCATGCCACATGGAAAATAGTCGAGGATAGGGCGGGACAAGCATATACCGAATCAAAGGCCCAAACTAGATGGGGTACCTCATCTACTTGGTGGACAAGGCATAGCAAAATATACTAGTGAACCAACTCTACCTGACTAGATTTTCTTGGAACAAACTAGGAAACCAACATCTAAACCTATGAGAACTCTATATGTAACCCTACCCCTCACCCAGACTATGTAAGGAGAAATAGGGAGCCCCAGATCAGCATCCCCAACTTAGAGTCCACCTAGATCAAACTCATCCTTAAGTTAGCTCCACCTATAGACGCATAGTTACAATCCCCTACTCACAACTACCTTGAGCGTATCACGCACACTACTACAATAATGATATTAGTAGACAACTCATTTTATTTAAAGAGGAGACCAAGGTTCCATGTCTCCTAAAATATTTAGCAATTTTAGGAGATAATTAGAGTATTTATGGAGGCATTGTCGCCTCCTAAAATAGATTAACAAGGATTTCACTTAAGAGATCCACCTCTGAAAATGAGGGCCGTTTTTAGAGGTAGGCCCACATCAGTCTACAACCCAGCCAGCTGCACTTCTCTCCCTATAATAGGATCTAGATGGCTAGAGGGGGTGAATAGTCTATAAAAATTTCTAAAAAACACAACACTAGAGCAAAGTAATAAGTATAACAAAAGATCCTAATAGCCACTACTTGGTCTAGTTGTACTAACACCCAAGCAAGCTTTGAGCAGGGCAAACAACTACCACACACAATTCTAGTAGCTTTGATTTTTAATCTAAAGGGCAACACCACACAAGCTACTAAGAACACTAGCTACACTAGAGAGCTACCAAAGAGAGCAACTAAAACTAAGCTAGTCTAGCTAGCAAGGCAAACAACTACCACACACAAGCAAGTAATAGCAATGTAAAGAATAAGTGTGTAGAGAGCAAACCAACGAGGGCAAGTCATAGACACAA